AGCATACCAGTGAGAACACACAATCTGAACACACATCAGAGCCCCACGAGTCAACAAAAAGGCAGTTAAACATTAGCACTGGAATCTCCAAGTATATTCAATGAAGGACATGATTGAGACTGCCCACAGATGACAGACACCAGCGTACACACACTGAGTGTGAACAGTCATCACAGGTATAGAGTGAGGTAGTATTACTTTCTTGGAACTGATGCTATCATCTGCTGCCCTTGCTCAAAGGCCCAGGTTTGTTTGTTTGTTTGTTTGTTTTTTAACAATTAAAATCAGTAATCATCAACAGTATCTTCTATTAGACATGTGTCTCTAAATCAACCTAACAACAAACCTTGAATTGTTTTCAGAGACCACTTACTCGCAGGCAGTGTTTCATCAATAATTCTCCTAGGAGTGCTGCCTGCTGAGTCCATCTCTGAGGTGGCAGGCAAGTAAAGCCACCCAAGGATTACAGGACATGATCCACCAGTAACTAGAGCTGGCATGACAACTGTACTTGAGTAAATGGAAAGCCAACGCCCAATAATGTGATGAAGGGATTTCTACAATAATTAACCACCTCTGCATACCGTGCTGTTCAACGTTCTCATCATGATGCAGTCTCCCACAAGGGCCGCTGTCTCACCTACCTGGATCTGTTTACCCCAACACCTCATTTTAAATACCTCCAGTAAGTGATCTGTATGACATCAGAATTATGGCTCTGTCATGACAGGGCATGAGAAGGCCATACTGAAAAAAACATGAGTGTGAACATGGAAATGTATGTAGGCTAAACATGGAAAGGGCAAATAAAAATGAGTTCATTAACTAAACATGCATTGAAATGTCCACTATTATCCTAACATGTACACAGTGCTCAAAGCACACATACACATTTATCAGACAATGTCATTAGTGTTAATATTCAACTGAAAAAAATGAAACAGAAACAAAAAAATGAAACATGTACAAAGAGGTGACAGAATAGCATTATCCATTCCCTGGCCAAAAGAAAAATGACCAAACATGACAGCACACTGCCTTAATGCTGAAGAGCGCCCCTCAGAATCCTGCTAGTGAGCACAGTCAACTGGTCTGAGTGCTTTGGCAAGGTGGGATGCATTCCATCGCATCTACAAAGGCCTGCTTTTCTCTGGTGGTGGTTCAGCTTATGAAGGACATGTATCACAAGAACAGCTCTCACATTGCTTCAAACTCATCGATGCGCTGCTTTGTATTGCCTTGTCGAATCTGTCGGAGAGTCTTGTACTTATCACGGCCTGCTTTGACATTCTCAGCATGAAGAACATTATTCTGTGTTTTCTTGGTTTCATCTCTGGCTTGGGCTAACTCTGAACTTAATGCCTGGAGCTGCTTCTTCACACATTCGTTTTTCTGGGTCTCCGTCACCTGCTCCTCCTCGCTCCGGTGGTTCATCACCCCCTCGCTGGACAACTCTGCACTGGCCTCAGCACTGTTCTCGTCATGCTCGTCATGCATCATGCTCGTTTTCTGTGGGAGGAACGACCGGTGGAGGGGGAGGGGGAGGGGGAGGGGGCGCAGACATCACCGTTTTTAACTCGTCTTTGGTCTTTTCCAAGTCTTCCTGAGCTGCAAAAGCTTTGTGTTGCCATTCGGTAGCTTCCTCTTCCTTTTTCTTCTTGGCTTCCTCTAAAAGTGCAATCTTGGCAGTGAATTCGGCAAGTTCTGCTGCCAGCTGCTCCTGGTTCTTCATCTGGTCAGCAGCTTGCTTGGCTATGGCGGACTTGGCCTCCTCCGCAGCCCGCCGCTCCTTATCTAGCCGCTCTGCCTCCTCTTTTGCTCGTTGGCGCTCCTGCTCCAGTTCCAGAGCTTTCCGTGTCTGTTCTTCTAGTTCTTTTTGGGCTTTCATTGTCTGTTCTTCAATTTGCCTTAGACGCTCCATTAGCTCTTCCTTCTCACGCTCTATTCTTTCCTTTTCCTTTTCTGCTATTTCTCTTTTCTTCTTTTCATTCTCTAATTGTGCCCTTTCCAACTGCTTCTGGTGCTTTTCCTCCCGGGCCTGAGCCTTCATCTGTTGTACTTCAATAGTATCAGGCTTTCTCCTTCTCATGTACAGTTCATGGTTTCCCATGCATAAGGCCAAAATCCGCTTATTGATTCTCAGACGAGGAGCATAGAAAACAAAATCAGGTGCCTTTTTGTCAATTGGCTTTATAACAATTTTTTTGTCATTAAATGAAATATTTCGGATTTCACTCCAGGGAAAACCAATTTTAGGCGTTAACTTGTCGTCATGTTCATAAATATTCAGACCCAAAGCATCAACACCCAGCCACAATTCAGTGCCCCTCTTATTCTTGATTTCAAAATAGTTGACACCATACATTTCTAGATCTTGAGCAATCTTCAGGTACTCCATCATCGAATCCTCCCTCAGCATCCCTCTGTGCTCTTCGTGCCAGTTCTGGATCTGCTCCTCCCACTGCTCTTTGGTCAGTTGTGTTGTTCCAAAACACGCTGTGGTAGGAGTCTGTCATTAGCCAGGTATCCTGGTTTGTGAACCTCTTTATTATAATCTCCATACTTGGCTTGGACAGCATACGAAGCCAAAAGAACTGCAGTTTCTGGTGGGCAATATATTTCATCATTTAAGATGGCTTCTTTAACTTGCAAGAAGAAAAGTCTCTGTGTTATTTCTTGAATCAATTCCTCAGACACATCTTCAGGAAAGAATTTAGCTCTAAACTTGAACTGTAAAGGATTTTCTTTTTTAACATCCTGCTGTGTCACCTTTTTATTCAGTTTTAGCCACGTAGAATATCCTTTGCTGTCTACATACTGCAGCCCAAAAAACCAGACCTCACGTAAACCAATTGTTTTTACAACCTGGTCAAAAAGTTGTTTGCCAGTTGTATTGGGCTGAATGGCAAATTCTAGCTCAGCATCCATTGTAGTTACTCGTACATTGATTGGTTTCAGCATTTTCCTTCTCTTGTTTGTTACCTTCTTTAGGAACTCTTCACTTCTATAAACTATTATTGCCTTTTACAGAACAAATAATTCATCTTCCCGGCCTTAGGCTTCCCTTTGCTAGGACAGCAGCTTTTCCAGGAACTCTGCATGCATATCCCTTTCACCAAGCCTCATCTTCCGTCTTCAGTGAGTTACCACCATCCTCATGATGTTTTATACTGTAAGTACTGATTTTTTTTATTTAACTGGTATCTAAAGTATTCATATTATAATAATCATGGATTAAAAATAATTAAAAAATATTTTAGTAATAAAGTAGATATATAATGCTATAGTAACTCCATAAAATGTTTCCATTTCTAACCATTTAAAAATAAGTAAAACTAGGAACTATATAGTCAAACTCATAACTTTTGTTTACATTAGACATGCATTTCATCTATAATCTTCACTCTATTAAGTCAAACTGTGTCCTTGATAACTTAAGTTTCATAAGCTATGTCACATGTAAATGTTATGTGAGAAACAAAGAGGGTAAGAAATAATTCAGATCCAGACCATAATAGCTAATAGTTTTAATATGATCTAGGAGATTCTTTCTTAATGGCCCTTACCAGCTTTTCCATTCTCTCAAAGACTGATGTTCTGACCACTTCTCAAGCCTCACCTCTATCAGTTGCTAGGAATGAGGCTTTCAGCAATAGGAGAACTTATAATATCAATATGTGACATATATGTACAAAATGTGATGCCTGGCCAACAGGGCAAACTGTGAATGAAAGTTTGTGAAAATAAGTTGTGTGTGGCTGTGAACAAAAAATTCCTAAAGAGTCAGTGTTTTTGGAGACTGTTTGACTGATTGGAATTTCAGTAATGAGGTGAGTTTTAAATTTTGAAAGTTCAGAGGCTAATCACTTCATCTTGGCTAGCTTTATCCTTCCAGAAGAGCCATTCCTTGCCCCACTCTGAACTAACTCCTCTTGATAATAAATAAAACCTCCTCAGAATCTATTAACTTAGCAGAACCCTAGCTTCCACCAATCCAAGAGCTAAGAATGACATTAGATAGCATCTTGTGCCTGTATAATACCTTCCCATGTCTTTCCGTACCTTCCTCTTTCGTGTACCCACCCAATATTTCTTAAACTTGCCTTTATTTTGTGACTCGCCTTGTTCTATAAAACTATAAAAACTCCATAAAACTGCTTCGACACTGTGACATGGAATTTAAGGTGACTTAAATCTGTGTTCCTTGGCTATGGTGACTCAAATTGGCTCCAGAATAAACGATCTCTTACTACCAGAGAGGGAGAAAGAGAAAGTAGTGAAGCCCACCTTTGGCTGTCAGCAAGGAACTTTTCAGAGAGGACAAATTAAGTGAGGAAGCCCCTCCCTGAGGACCCTATCCTTCAGGGAGAAATTCCTGGAATGAATAAAGAAAGGAAAGGGGAGAACAAGCTGTGCACAGGCATGCTCTTCCTGCTTCCTGGTCTGCTCACAGGCAAGCAAGTCCTTGACCCAAAGCTTAAAGCCACTCTTGCCTCAATGCCTTCCCCACCCTGGTGGACTCTATCATCTGTATGTTGGTTAAAATAGATCTTTCCTCATTTAAGTTGTTTCCTGTGTCAGACACAACAACAAAAATAATGAATGTAAAGGTCATTCTAAAGAAATGTATATAAAGTACACCAGAAATATAACTTGTATAATGAAAATCTGTGTAATAAACATGCATTCAAACTTTTTATAAGATCATTGACAGAGATTTTAGTTATGATAGTTCCATATTAGACCTGTGCTAAAGAAATAGAATTATATTGTTCAATGAAATATACTGTTGTTTCTGTGAGACAAAATTGTTTTCCCTAATGCTGATTGGCTTTTCCTGAAACAGTCTAATTGGAGGAGCTGCTATTTCTAATGTCATTATTCTATTCACTCTTAATTTGTAAAAGAATGCTGCTTGATAGCAGTTATACCAAGCCTCAATCATTTCTTTCTGCCCTTGCTAAGTTGTTACTGTCAACTCAGTATCAAACAACAGGATAGGTACTTTACCAGGTTGTACTCTCATTATACAAGAGGGTTGTACTTTGTGACAGTTTAAAATGTCACCAAATGAAGGATCTGGCAGATTTTGCTAAAATTTTCTCTTCAGTGTATGTTTTACACAGTAACATTTTATTCCGGTGTAAATAAAGATGAAAGCGTGACATTCAGAGGACAATGGATGGAACTGAAAATAAGTTCTGCTTTTCTTATCTGCAAAATAGATATTTAAATATATATGCTTTAATTTATATTAAACAACACACACATGCTGTGGGATGGTCTGTATATCAAATTGCTCTGATTGGTCAATAAATAAAACACTGATTGGCCAGTGGCCAGGCAGGAAGTAGGTGGGACAGGGAGAGAGGAGAATTCTGGGAAGCAGAAGGCTGAGGCAGAGAGACACTGCAAGCCGCCAATGACCAGCAGCATGTGAAGACGCCGGTAAGCCACCAGCCACGTGGCAAGGTATAGATTTATGGAAATGGATTAATTTAAGCTATAAGAACAGTTAGCAAGAAGCCTGCCACGGCCATACAGTTTGTATGCAATATAAGTCTCTGTGTTTACTTGTTTGGGACTGAGCGGCTGTGGGACTGGCGGGTGACAAAGATTTGTCCTGACTGTGGGCAAGGCAGGAAAACTCTAGCTACACACACACACACACACACACACACACACACACACACACACACAAACACACAAACACACCTGAAAACAGAAGGGAACATTGAAACCTAAGGAAGAGGCTCAAAGCAATAAGTCCTGGGGAAAAAAGAGGTTCCACACAAATTCATCTTCAAGATCTAATGAGTTTACTAGAGCTACTTGTAGGACAATGGCTGAGAATTTGCTTTAAGAGTCATAGGTGACACAGGACAAGAGCATCCCTGAAAATCACACCCAAGTATAGATGATGATCAAGAAAGCTGCATCACTGAATCTTCTCGATCAACATTAGGGCAGCTCGAGAACAAGGGGCCCTACTCCAGCAATTGATTACTGATTACATTGCCTTGGGTAGGGAACTTGTAAATCTTTCCAGTCTCTCAGCTTCTGAACCTCTTAAGCTTCAAAGGCTTTCTGATCTTTTTAAGTTTTGTTGTATTCTAGAGACCTACCATTCCCCTTGCATCCTCCAGCAGGGAATGCTTCAATTTGGAGGCAATAGCTACACAACACTCCATCCTGTCTTCCAATTTTTTCATTTTCTCTATTCTCTTTTCCATGATGATCCCAGAACTTGGACAGAGTGATACAATGGAATGGTTGGTTACATTCTCCCATTCGTGGCTGAGACACTATTGCCACAGTAATAATTATTTATTCTTAGTGAATGGACTAGTTATGAATCTCTATAGCAAGTCTTTTTCATCCCCTAAAGTAACTGTCCCCTTGCAATCAGTGCAAAAAAAAAGTCTTCTATGGCATAAAACAAGTATTTTGTCCATAATTTGGCATGTATATCAGATTACATTAAACAACAACAGCTAGCTAGCAGCTGCTTCCTCACTGGAGCTTATGATATCCCCAGTCTCACAAAAAAATGATTGTCTTACAACATCAATCATAGGTTTTTTCCTATGCAATTTTCCTTACATCTTACCAGAAAGAAGTTAGGTGCTCCTATAACTATCTTATCACTAGTGTACCATCAGGCACATCTTGCCTGGCATATTGGTAATATTACAGGCAGAATTAATAAAGCAGTATTTTGAATGGCAATTCTTCAGCATCAGACTGTATATGCCTTCTGGTTCTACAAAAGCAAGGCTATAAGGTGAGGGAGCTTAAATCTCAGCGCCAGATTGATTTTTGTATGTCCTGCAACTAAAGTCTGGTATCTTAAGCAACAAGGACTAAACACCCAGTTTGTGGAATCCAAAGCAGTGACAATGGCATGCATGATGTGAAGAACCTCAGGAGATCACTAACCAACAACATAAGGAAGTACCCACCCCCTAGCAGTGACACTTTCAGTCGATAAACTTATGGCTCCTGGAAATTTCCTTTTATACTCACAGAGTTCTGTTTTGTTCAAACTTTTCATCTCTTCCTTTTACTATTCTTCTATATGCATTTCAAATCTCTAAGATATTCAAGGGTAAACATTATGAAAAGAATCTTTTACAAAACTGGGTAGGATATCTCAAAGTCCACCTCTGTCCACTCCAAACAAAAGCCAATTGACCTTGAACAACACAGGGACACTGAAGAAGAAATTCTAACAAGGTCAAACAAACCATGAATGAATCTCATCACTTGAATTCCTTTCATAAGAAATAATGTTGGATATAGAGGCATTTATGAGAAATTGTGCCCTATCTAGCTTTTTTATAATCCACCTTCACTTTCCATGGGCCATCCTGCCTCTTTGTCTTAGGGTCCTGATGCTAATACTGGGCCACTATGTATCTCCTTTCCCCTGATCATCCTGGCAAGGCTGACTTCATTGATAAGCATTGTTTCAGACTAAGAGAGAAGATAGCCAAGTTCTTGCCTGTCTTGGCCATTCTTGAAGGAAGCTTTCCAGGTCTAACAGGCTGGTGGTCAGGACTGTAGCCTTGCCATGAGCACATCTGGCTGCTGAAAGGGCTCTATCTTTTCAAACAATTTCAAAGCCCAGTATATTGTCATGCAGGAAAGACATGATCATCCCATATTCTGGGTAAGAAAGCTGCTTACTCTTAAGAAAATCTTAATCTTTTTTTTTTGTGTGTGTGTGTTTGTGTTTGTCTCAAATCTTTTTTTAAATTTTATTTTATAATTTAATTTAATTTTACATATCAGCCACAGATGCCCTTGTCCCCGCCCCCTGCCCATGCCCGCCTGCCCCCCCCTGCCTTCCCCCCAGCACCCCCTCCTCATTCCTATCTCCTCTCGGGCAAAAGAAGATAAAGTTATTTATAGCAGTATCTCATTTCTTCAGACTCAGACACAAAGAATATATTCCATACTCTGCTTCTGAGAAAGACCAAATTGTGCGAATTATTTGCAATCATAGCACTCCACTGAATACTCAACAACCACAATGAAAATCTTAATCTTTGT